GGTTTGAGTCCCAGACCCAGTGGCTTAAACTCATGCCAGGCATGTGTGCATGTGTGCCCAAGATCCCGAGAGGAGAATGGAGGAGAAGGGATTATGGCATGGCCATCCCCCTGGTGCCTGGGGGGTGATTTCTCATTTTCTATCTCTCTGTCTCTGTCTTTCTGGTGAGCACATGTACCCTATAGCAAAAACCTCCCCCCCAAACAAAATTTTATTTCTTCCATGAACTAGAGAGACAGAGAAAAACAGAGAAAGCACTCCCAACGGGATCTCAATGCTGAAATTCATCCTCAGCCTCAGATCCCGAGATTACAGACATGTGCATACCCGGCATATTCAGGGAGGTCTTCAGACTTGAACCTGCCCACCTAGGACTGCTTCAAAGAGCAGCACATTTTGCCACTGTGCCACTCTGTGACCCCAGAAATTGTCTTTTCTAAACAATTTAAATGTGGACTTTTTTTTTAAAGGTTTTTGTCACAGATGCGTGCGCTAGAAAGAGACAGAGAAAAGGAAAGTGAGAAATCACCCTCTCCTGGGGGGGGATGGCCATGCTGCAATCCCTTCTTTTCCATTCTCCTCTTAGGATTTTGAGCATGCGTACACACATGCCTGGCGTGATTTTCAAGTGTTTAGGTCCAAGACTCAAACCACTGTCAGCCATGTGGGAGTCCAACACCTTAACCACCATGCCACCTGTTGGACCCTAAATGTGCACAATCTTTGAGCCTGTTATTCTAAGAATTTAGCCTAATAATGGTAAATTTTCTCAAAAACTTCTATGTTCATCTGGGTATTTTTAAAATAGAAAAAATTAAGCAGGGTCCAGCAGGTAGCATACTGGGGCACTGGACTTCCACATGGGCACTGGACTCCCACTGCAATTTGAGTCCTGGACCTGGTGGCTTGCTTTCTCAGTTTCTCTCTTTCTCTTTCTCTCTCTCTGGTGAGCACATGTGCCCTATAGCAAATCAAAGAGAAAAAAAAAAACCTAAATAAATAATGCTTTAAAAAAAGGAAAAAGAAAAGCGAACAGCTTAATGTCTAACAAGGGATCAGTTAAATAAGCTACATTAAGTCCACACAACTGAACATTAAACAAAAGTTAAATATTATTGGCATATAGGGACCAGCAGGTGGCGTGGTGGTTAAGGCGCTGGACACTTCCACATGGTCAACTAGGGTTCAAGTCCTGAATCTGGTGGCTTGCTTTCTCACTTCCTCTCTTTCTCACTCTCAACCTCTGTCTCTCTCTGGTCAAACTAAAAAAATAAATGAATGAATAAATAAAATTTAAAAAATATTATAGGCATATAAAAATCTCAAGAGAGATTGCATGGCGTTTGGGGCACTGGACACCCACATGGCCAACTGCAGTTCGTGTCCTGGGCCTGGCGGCTTGCTCTCTTACCCTTTCTTTCTCTCTGTCTTATAGGCACATGCTCTATAGCAAATTGGAAAAAAAATTAATTAAAAAAAAAAATCTCAAGATATATTTTTGAAAGTCTTCCACTATGAGAGTGCGAACTCCACTAGCTATGCTTACTGATCTATCATCACTACCCAGAATAATGCCCAGCACACAGAGGATACTGAGTATCTATAAATGAGTGAAATTTTAACATAGGGCTAAAAAAAACAGAAACCGCGTATTTAAAAATATATTTCTAAATGTATACACAGACCTATAAAATATATACAAATAGATTACATAAAATTTGCATGTATATTATATAATTTTAGAAAAACAGAAGAAAAGAAGAGACCAAAATGTTTCAGGTAGTTCTTTTTGCATGATGTAGTTATACGCAATTCTTCTCCTTTTTCTTTTTGTATTTTACAAGTTTTCCCTCACTTTTATAATCAAGATGCAAAACTGTATGGCCAATAGGGAGGGGGCAAATAGTGGCACAGTGGTCAAGTTCAATGCTTGGGGACCAGCAGATAGCGTAATAGCTATGTCGCTGGACTCCCATGTAGTTGAGCGCAGTTCAAGTCCTGAACCTGGTGGCTTAAACTCACACCAGGCACGTGTGTGTGCATGCCCAAGATCCTGAGAGGAGAATG